TGGGCAACATGGGCAACATGAGCAACATGGGCAACATGTGCAACATGAGCAACATGGGCAACATGGGCAACATGAGCAACATGAGCAACATGGGCAACATGGGCAACATGAGCAACATGGGCAACATGAGCAACATGGGCAACATGTGCAACATGAGCAACATGGGCAACATGGGCAACATGAGCAACATGGGCAACATGGGCAACATGAGCAACATGAGCAACATGGGCAACATGGGCAACATGGGCAACATGAGCACATGGGCAACATGGGCAACATGAGCAACATGAGCAACATGGGCAACATGGGCAACATGAGCAACATGGGCAACATGTGCAACATGAGCAACATGGGCAACATGGGCAACATGAGCAACATGAGCAACATGGGCAACATGGGCAACATGAGCAACATGAGCAACATGGGCAACATGAGCAACATGGGCAACATGTGCAACATGAGCAAAATGTGCAACATGGGCAACATGAGCAACATGGGCAACATGAGCAACATGAGCAACATGGGCAACATGAGCAACATGAGCAACATGGGCAACATGAGCAACATAAGCAACATGGGCAACATGAGCAACATGAGCAACATGGGCAACATGAGTAACATGGGCAACATAAGCAACATGAGCAACATGGGCAACATGGGCAACATGGGCAACATGAGCAACATGGGCAACATGGGCAACATGAGCAACATGGGCAACATGTGCAACATGAGCAACATGGGCAACATGAGCAACATGAGCAACATGGGCAACATGAGCAACATGGGCAACATGGGCAACATGAGCAACATGGGCAACATGGGCAACATGAGCAACATGGGCAACATGGGCAACATGGGCAACATGAGCAACATGGGCAACATGAGCAACATGGGCAACATGGGCAACATGAGCAACATGGGCAACATGAGCAACATGTGCAACATGAGCAACATGGGCAACATGAGCAACATGGGCAACATGTGCAACATGAGCAACATGAGCAACATGAGCAACATGGGCAACATGAGCAACATGAGCAACATGGGCAACATGAGCAACATGAGCAACATGGGCAACATGAGCAACATAAGCAACATGGGCAACATGGGCAACATGGGCAACATGAGCAACATGAGCAACATGGGCAACATGAGCAACATGGGCAACATAAGCAACATGAGCAACATGGGCAACATGGGCAACATGGGCAACATGAGCAACATGGGCAACATGGGCAACATGGGCAACATGAGCAACATGGGCAACATGGGCAACATGAGCAACATGGGCAACATGTGCAACATGAGCAACATGGGCAACATGAGCAACATGAGCAACATGGGCAACATGAGCAACATGGGCAACATGGGCAACATGAGCAACATGGGCAACATGGGCAACATGAGCAACATGAGCAACATGAGCAACATGAGCAACATGAGCAACATGGGCAACATGGGCAACATGAGCAACATGGGCAACATGGGCAACATGGGCAACATGAGCAACATGGGCAACATGAGCAACATGAGCAACATGGGCAACATGGGCAACATGAGCAACATGAGCAACATGGGCAACATGGGCAACATGAGCAACATGAGCAACATGGGCAACATGAGCAACATGAGCAACATGGGCAACATGGGCAACATGAGCAACATGAGCAACATGGGCAACATGGGCAACATGAGCAACATGAGCAACATGGGCAACATGGGCAACATGAGCAACATGAGCAACATGGGCAACATGAGCAACATGGGCAACATGAGCAACATGGGCAACATGGGCAACATGGGCAACATGAGCAACATGGGCAACATGGGCAACATGAGCAACATGGGCAACATGGGCTACATGAGCAACATGAGCAACATGGGCAACATGGGCAACATGAGCAACATGGGCAACATGAGCAACATGTGCAACATGAGCAACATGGGCAACATGAGCAACATGGGCAACATGTGCAACATGAGCAACATGAGCAACATGGCAACATGAGCAACATGGGCAACACGAGCAACATGAGCAACATGGGCAACATGAGCAACATGAGCAACATGGGCAACATGAGCAACATAAGCAACATGGGCAACATGAGCAACATGAGCAACATGGGCAACATGAGCAACATGGGCAACATAAGCAACATGAGCAACATGGGCAACATGGGCAACATGGGCAACATGAGCAACATGGGCAACATGGGCAACATGGGCAACATGAGCAACATGGGCAACATGGGCAACATGAGCAACATGGGCAACATGTGCAACATGAGCAACATGGGCAACATGAGCAACATGAGCAACATGGGCAACATGAGCAACATGGGCAACATGGGCAACATGAGCAACATGGGCAACATGGGCAACATGAGCAACATGAGCAACATGAGCAACATGAGCAACATGAGCAACATGGGCAACATGGGCAACATGAGCAACATGGGCAACATGGGCAACATGGGCAACATGAGCAACATGGGCAACATGAGCAACATGAGCAACATGGGCAACATGGGCAACATGAGCAACATGAGCAACATGGGCAACATGGGCAACATGAGCAACATGAGCAACATGGGCAACATGAGCAACATGAGCAACATGGGCAACATGGGCAACATGAGCAACATGAGCAACATGGGCAACATGGGCAACATGAGCAACATGAGCAACATGGGCAACATGGGCAACATGAGCAACATGAGCAACATGGGCAACATGAGCAACATGGGCAACATGAGCAACATGGGCAACATGGGCAACATGGGCAACATGAGCAACATGGGCAACATGGGCAACATGAGCAACATGGGCAACATGGGCTACATGAGCAACATGAGCAACATGGGCAACATGGGCAACATGAGCAACATGGGCAACATGAGCAACATGTGCAACATGAGCAACATGAGCACATGGGCAACATGAGCAACATGGGCAACATGAGCAACATGGGCAACATGAGCACATGAGCAACATGGGCAACATGGGCAACATGAGCAACATGGGCAACATGAGCAACATGAGCAACATGAGCAACATGGGCAACATGGGCAACATGAGCAACATGAGCAACATGGGCAACATGAGCAACATGAGCAACATGGGCAACATGAGCAACATGAGCACATGGGCAACATAAGCAACATGGGCAACATGGGCAACATGAGCAAACATGGGCAACATAAGCAACATGGGCAACATGTGCAACTTTCATATTTCACATTGGAGAGTCGGCGCAGCTCTTGGTCTTGATGACAACAGTACCGTGGAAACGGGTCTGCTCGGCCCACAGCATGACGCTTGACCAGCGTTTCATTCTCTACCAGGTTTTCTGATAGTGCAGAACCTTCAACTCAGCTGATTGACCCCTGCTGACCTCTGATCTGCAGTGGGCCGCCGATCCTCTGGCCCTGCAGGACCGCCGCTCCTCGGCGGGTTGCTGGTTCCTCCGGGTCGGCGGAGCGGCGGTAGATTCCTCGGCTCACGTCCTCAAACACGACAAACATTTCCCAGACGCGGGATGTGTAGCCAGCAAGCTCCGTCACCTGCACACACACCTGAGGTCAGCCGGCCGGCCGTGGGGGCGGGGCCTGTCAGCGGGGGCGGGGCATGCTGACCTCCTTGTAGGAGCTCATGATCCTCTCCACGGCGTCGGCGGCGGCGTTCAGGAGGTTCCTGGCTGTGTGAAGGCCTGCGTTCGCTCGCTGACCAAATCCTCCTCCTTCATCACTATGGCCGCCCGCTTCACCTCCTCAGAGTCTGCACACCAACGGTCAGAGATCACATGCTGCCGCAGCAGCCCCAGGCCCACCGTGGGGGGCGGAGCTTACCATTTTTGGAGTATCCTGTGGCGGTGTGATGATGGGCACGGCCACCATGACGAGGCCGGACGCGCTCCAGACGTACTTCATGAGGAACTGCTCAGCATGACGTACCAGAGCCGCTTCAGCAGGATCTGGATGGATCTGAGACGACAGGGAGGCGTAGCTCCGCCGCTGCAGCTGGGACAGCTCCACCTGCAAACCAACAGCGCTCAAACAGTCTGACAATCAAACACTCTTCTGTAGAAAGTGTTGTCGCTCACAGGCGGCGCTCACCTTGTGTCCGGCGTAAAAGGCGATCTCCTCTGAGTTGGCGATGATGCGTGAGTGCATGTAGCGCAGGTCCCCCTTCCTCTTCGCCTCCTCAGCCACCAGCTTCCCAAAGTGCGGCGAACAGGAGCGCAGCACCTTGGCGGTGAGCGCCACCACCAGGCCGAGCCGATGGCGGAGGGCCACGTGGTGTTGGCCCCTGCAGGAGGACACCATCAGGCCAGGTACAGGTGAGGATCAGGTGCTGCGGCGGCAGCAGCGTACCTTTGGACTGGGCGGTGCGCAGCAGCGTGTAGCAGGTGACCACCACGTCCAGGATGGGCTTGGTCAGGTTGGAGTACAGGTGAGCGACGGAGGCAGAGAACATGACGATGTCTTGGTCAGAGACTGGTCCGGATTGGACAGACGGCCATCCATGTTGCTGATGCGGTAATACGTCTGTGAAGGAGCGGAGCTTTAGACTCACCTGGAGAAGGTGGGTCAACAGGTGTACAGCAGGTCTCACCTGGTTGGTAAAGTACAGCTGGTAGGTGTGGCTGACTAATCGGCTCCTGAAGCTCAGGGTCAGCTGACCCTCCAGGAATCTGATGGCGCTATTGATGAACGTGGCAGGAACTGCGACGAGGAGCCCTTGGACAGTTGCAGCACGAAGGCGCGCGGATCTTTCTGCACGATGCACGGACGATCATACCTGAGAGACCAAACCCGACAATCAGGATGACCTGAGACACTCTGGACAGAACAGTAAAGACAGGTGAGGGCAGGTGACACAGGTGCCAGACCGTCTAGAGACGCTACGTAGATGGACAGGAAGGTGCGGGACATCAGGGTGACGGAGTGCAGAGCGAGCAAGCCAAACTCTGGGACACAGTAACGTGTGGAAACAGGAGCTCAGCAGGTGAGACAGTCTGAGGATGAAGTCTCTGTTGACTGATGGAGACCTGTAGACAGGTAGAGTCCAGGTGAGACCAGCTGACGACTGATCAGGTGTCTCACATCGTCTCTTGTCACCTGTCCACTTTCTTCTTCTTGTTCTCATCTTCACCGCCCTCCACAGTGCTGACCACGCCCACAGGTGTTTTAGCCCCGCCTCCCTGATCACTGCTGCCCCTCTCTGGAGGAACAACACACTCAGTCACCAGGCAGTCTTCCCCTCACCTTTACCTTCAGGTGTGTCTCACCTTTAGCCTCCTCCACACGTACGGAGACAGTTTTTTGACAGTGTAGGCAGCAATCAGGATGGCGGCCATTCTTCCTGAGTCTGGAGCTCCCGCCTCAGCTGAGCTGGCAGTTTCTCATTGGCCAGCTGCATGATGACAGCCAGCCGACCAATCAGAGCCTTGATCCTGAGAGCCTGACGCTCCCACCTGTGCACAGGTAAGGAACGGCATCACCTGAAGCTCTCCCAACTTCTGCTGATAAAAAAGTACTTTTACTTGAAGTCAAATGTAATGAGGTACTATTTCCTTTCCAGAACTTTTACTGGAGTCCGTTTCGTGTTCTTTTCATCTCGGTGTTTGTAATAAATTTCTAATGTTTATATGTTAGATTGCTAATTCTAAGCTTGTGGATTGTTTATCGTTGCCATAGCAACTGTCATTACAGTCAGTTACAGATACCTACCAAGATGGCTGCCATCTACAAAGTTCGCAGAAGTATGACATAACGCCCTCTGGTGGAGGCTTAGAGCTCCATAACATCCCTTATCAGCTTCTTTGTTTCATGATTGCTTCATGTTTTTATTTTAAACGCGTTTGGAGACTGAAGCGTTGGACAAATGTCACCATGAAAAACGTTTCACATAAAATGTCAAACTTTTCTGACATACGTTATTTATCATTGTATGTAACTGATGTTCAATGTGTATTTAAAGACTTTGCATTAACAAAACATGAACAAAAAGAGTCTAGTGAGAAACATCACGACCCCCTGCAGTACCACCGGGACCCCAGAGGGGCCACGACCCCCACGTTGAAGACCTCTGCTCTAGCTTGACAAGAACTATACTGATTATCCCGGTGTGGGCCTGGTTCGGTTCCGTTAGTTCTTGAGGTGACATTCCAAGTTCCGGTCCAGTTCCCACCGTGGGATAAAGCCTGACAGAAACGGGTCGGGTTCGGGAGAACCAGGAGTCGGACCGGAACTAACTGCAATGGTTCTGGTTCCGTCATTGATCCATAAAACATAACGATCACCGAACTTCTCGGAACTTCACGTCGCGCATCCGGACCGGAACCGGCCGGTGTTGGGGAAGCTAAAGCTAATGCTAAAGCTAACGGCTAACCGGAACTTTGATGTGGAAATATGTCCAAAACAGACAAAGTTCCCAGATCAGACCCGCTCCTCCCGAACAGAATCCGCCCGTCCGGGTCGTAGGGAGTCCCGCTGCTGCAGCAGAACCCTTACCTCATCGCCGAACCGGTCCGGAACGAGCTGCTGTCGGGAGAAAGTTTAGTCCGTGCAGCCAGTTCTGAAGCCGGTCTGACCGCCGCGGCTTGCCGCCGCTGTGAGGACCGGGTGTTACGCAACGAGCTGCTAAAGCTGAAGAACGTTCTCAGCTGTTCAAATTCACTGAATTTATTGTAACTCTAAAGAACGTTATTTAAGTATCACTGCAGGCAAGACACGTCACACACACATTTAAAACTGTCCCGATGTTTCGGGAACGTTCTTTCTTTAATGAACATCTGGTGTCGTTCTCCTGGCTGAAGACCGTCAGGTGATTTTTCCATTCGGGGGTCCAGGAGCCGGAACCGGAACCTCTCCGAGGCTTTAATGTTCACATGATGTTCTGATCCAGAACAATAAGAAGCTTTGATCTGGTCCGGATTCGCTGCTGGTCCACAACCAGAGCAGCAGGGGGCGCTGGAGCGCTTTGACAAACTGGGCTTTCCATGAGAGCTGAGAACGAACAGAACAGAACCTCCTGGGTCCAATAACAGAAGCAGAGCAGAAACGTATTCACACATTTTATTTACACACAAAAACTACAAAAACATTCAGTCCATCTCAGAAGCTGCTGCGGTACCGGCCGGGTCCGGTTCTGGAGCTTTCAGAACACACGTTCCTGAACGGGTTCTGATTGGACTGAGAACATGCAGCACACACACCGCCAGAACCGAACGGGATCCCGCTTCCTCTCCCGACCAGACCAGAACTCCTGCAGGATCCCAGCTGATACCGACTGGTACCGGCTGGTTATGGGCTGTCAGCAGAACCAGTATCAGGTCCTCGGGTTCTGCTCTGGGTAGGAAGCGCGTCCAGCTGCGGTTACACGACCAGAACCAAACACCTGAGTGGCCAACCAATAGGAGGGCAGCAGCATCAGAGTGGGCGGGGCTTGTCTTCATCATGACTGACTGAGGTTTTAACAAAAATGTTTCATCTTAAGAAAATTCAGATGTCTGAGCTGCAGCGACCCAGTAGACTAACTGGACCAGAACAGAACCTCAGGCACAGGTGAGGCGAACACAGCAGGTATGGAAAAGTACTGGCCCTACTCCAATGTTGACCTCGTAGCTAGGTGTGGTTGACCCCGTCGCTAAGTGTGGTTGACCCCGTCGCCAGGTGTGGTTGACCCCGTCGCTAAGTGTGGTTGACCCCGTCGCCAGGTGTGGTTGACCCCGTCGCTAAGTGTGGTTGACCCCGTCGCTAAGTGTGGTTGACCCCGTCGCCAGGTGTGGTTGACCCCGTCGCCAGGCATGACGCTGTTTTGTCGGGTTGGGATTCCTAAGCTATTCAATGGTTGTTGCCAGTAACTTAGTGGAGCATTGCCGCCATCTGCTGGTGAGGAGGGGGAACCAAAGGCTAAAAATAAACTCTCATCCTCTCATGTGTTTGAAACTAGAACGTCTTGGTATTTTTTATCTTTTTAAGATAAATCAACAGCTCCAGACTTGGCTGTGAACACAAAACAAAGACAAAAAAACAAACAAAAATGTCTCCAGTGACAGAAATGAATCCTGACTGAAGTAAAAAAAGAGTCACAACGATTAAATTAAAATTACATTAAATGCCACGCAGCTACTTTGTCTCAAGTTTCTTGAGAACACGGGTCCAGGTGTGGAACAGCACAGGTGCGTGTGTGTGAGGACAGGTGCGTGTGTGTGTGAGGACAGGTGCGTGTGTGTGTGAGGACAGTTGTGTGTATGTGAGGACAGGTGTGTGTATGTGAGGACAGGTGTGTCTATGTGAGGACAGGTGTGTGTGTGTGAGGACAGGTGTGTGTGTGTGTGTGTGAGGACAGGTGTGTGTGTGTGAGGACAGGGGTGTGTGTGTGTGAGGACAGGGGTGTGTGTGTGAGGACAGTGTGTGTGTGTGTGTGTGTGTGTGTGTGTGAGGACAGGTGTGTGTGTGTGTGTGTGAGGACAGGGGTGTGTGTGTGTGTGTGAGGACAGGGGTGTGTGTGAGGACAGAGGTGTGTGTGTGTGAGGACAGGGGTGTGTGTGTGTGTGAGGACAGGGGTGTGTGTGAGGACAGAGGTGTGTGTGTGTGAGGACAGGGGTGTGTGTGAGGACAGGGGTGTGTGTGTGTGTGTGTGTGTGAGGACAGGTGCGTGAACACTGATTCTCAATAAAAGTTATGTCCTGCATTAAAAACATCATTTCAGTAACAAAGGTTTGTATAAAATCAGATGACATCAGATCTGTAGAAAACGAGACCAAACAGTCAATTGATGATGAAATCAATCACCGCTGTGACATCATTGTCTGATTGTCGTTCTGATCATTTTTTTGTTCTGAAGTTCTTAAATGTGAAACCCGAAGCTCCTCTTATTGCTTCTGACTAAACCTGCTTCCTGATTACGACCTGAAGTTAACCGGGCCCAGGACCCGGACCCAGAACTCAGGTCCTGACCCGGGTACAGATGAAGATGGAGGTCTGGATCCGGGACAGAATTTCCTCCAGGTTCTAGTGACATTCCTAAGTTGTTGGAGATCTGGATTGTGTCAGAACATTCTCCTGGACCCGGTTTCCCTGAAAAACTTCTGGATCTCGAGTGTCTGAGCCGGCCAGAATCGGGCCGGGCCGGTCCTGTTGCAGGTCCAGTCTTGCTGGTTTGAGGATGAAAGTCAGTGCTGGATTCATAGTGCATGGATTCTGAGTCCAAACTGCAAAGGTACCTGATGCTTCCGGTCTGGACTCACCTGAGGCTTTAATAGGTAGACGCCTGAGCTGATCAGGGCTGGTGATGTCAGCTGGTGATGTCAGAGACCAGGTGAGGCTCTGTCTTTGGGGGGTGCAGATTGTCTGAGCAGAGTCTGAGGACCAGGAACCCAGAACTTGGACCAGTTGGCGCTCCACAGTCCTGCTGTGGCGATACGAGAACTGGCTAATGGGAACCTTTCCGGACCAGGAACCTTCAGAAGTGAGGCACTCTTGCCCCTTGGTGTAGGGTTCCTTCTTGACCCAAACCAGTGACTCCAGTTGAACGCTGTTCCCTCAAACAGCGGTAAACCATCGGTCCTCTGCTGAGTTCAGGCAGGTCCTGGTTCTGGTTCGTGACTCCTCCAGAGACCACCGAACACTCTGATGAGGAGATGGTCTTCCTTAGTGGACCCTCTCAGGGGAGATGAAGGTCTTTGCGAGGCGAAGCTGTCTTTAAGGTGCATGGGGCGTATGGGTGCTCAGCTAGTCTCTGAACAGGGTCATCGTCACCCAGTCAGAGAAGGCCCAGAGAACCGGGTTCCGTCCAAGTCTCTTCCTCTGATTGGCTGGTGATCAGACCAGAGTCCCAGGAGACGGCTGGTCCACCGCCAAGTCTCTGAGGGGAACTTCCTGTTTCTGGGACGGGCAGGAGTCCTGGTAGAGCGAGCTGTCCACAGACCTGACACAGAGAGGGAGAGATGGCTTCTGGTTTCATTTTCGGCTCACATTGATGTGGAGAAAACTCAAAAATAGTCTTTTGGCCCGCAAAGCAAGGCATTGTGGGTGATGAAGTTGGTGGCGGACCCCTACCTCCCGTGCAGCGGATGTCTGTGGAACGTGGCGGAGTGCGGCAGCGTCTGCTTGTGATGCGGCGCGACATAGTGATGATTCTGATAGGTCGACTGTTGGAGGACTTTGTGGGCCGTGCGTCTTTGCTGCTGGGCGCCAACCCCTCCGGCCTGACCTTTGACCCCACCGCTCGGCTTAGTGCTGGCAGTTGACAAGCCCTTTCCGCAGGCCTGGTTCTGGTGGCTGGATCCTAAGGTGTTCCTCAGGTACCAGTCCCTCAGACCTGTGAAGAAGGAATCAGACAAAGTCACACCTGCTGACCTTGTTTAATCCACCAGGTGGCGCCAGTCGGAGTTTTGTCCTGTTGCCTTACCCTCCAGGGCCAGGGCCTTGTGGAGGCTTCGCGTGGCCTCCTCCAGCTGGGAGTCCTGCTGGGGGGGCAGCTGCGGCGGGCGGGGGGGCAGCAAGTGGGGGTGGGGGTCTGGCTGGATGGTGGGCGGAGCCTGTTTGGTTACGTCACTGTGGTTCTGTTGCACTGGCAGGAACGGGCCACAGGACTTGGTGCGGGTGACGGTGACTCTGCGCTGGTCGCCGTGGTGACTGCGGTAGATGGGCGGGGCTCCCCCGGGCTGCTGGGCGGAGCCGGCGCCGTGGACCGGCCTGCTGGGCTGCGACTGCTGGCGCTGCAGCTGCCGCTGTTTCTCCCAGACGTAGTCCAGCAGAACCTCGCTGTAGCCCCCCCCTCGGGCCGCGGGGTGGTTTCTGCCGCGCCGCTCCGTCAGCGTCTCAGAGCTCCAGAATGACCCGGCCGCGTTGGTTCCCCTGGAAACAGTGGCTCCGTTAGGCCGGGGCGCCCCCTGCTGCGCCCCCTGCCGCGCCCCCTGCCGCGCCCCGCCTTCGTCCTCCGGGGAGGTGCTGTGGGTCAGGAGGCTGTCGGAGCCGTTGCTCTGGCGCGACGCCCGACAGCCCGCCTCCCGCCCCGGGTCGGAGGAGGAGGAGGAGTCCTGGGAACGGGGCGGGGGAGGGGGCTTGGTATTCTCATGGTGTTCAGTCCTGAAAGGTCAGAGGTCAGGTGGTGAGAAACTCTTCCGATTGGCAGGTACCAAACATAAAACTAACTGGGCAAACTAGTCATATGGGTTAAACTAGTTAACCCATATGACACGATCCGCTCGGGGTCAGGAACCGGCAATCGGGTCACGGAGGTCTGGCGTACCTGCTGAGCACCAACGACTTCTTGGGTTTGTTCTGGTTGAAAACATCCACAGGAGATCCAGCAGAAACCAGCAGGGGGCGACACTGAGACCCAGCGTTGTCTGTCAACACAGAGACGATCCACATCAGCACTGAATCCTGCCAGGACTTTACCGACCGTCCGTCCGTTTGTCTGTCTGCTGAGAGTTAGGCCACGCCCCTTTGGTTCTGAGATCCCAGCTATCGGTTCTGGAAGCTGTCTGGGTCCGTCCCGATAGTGAGGATGATGTGATGCTCGGTGATGTTGATGGTGGAACGTGATGTCACGTTGCTGCTGGTTCTTGCAGGACCAGCAGCCAGTGCAGCTACTGTTACCCATCAGGCAGTTCCTAAATTACCCTGAGGGGGCGCCACTAGTGACATCAGCTGCTTCATCCTGATGGTTACAAAACATCAGACGCTGTTGGGACATTTTGTTATCCCAAAACCAGAAACCCTGCCTGTGTGTGTGTGTGTGTGTGTGTGTGTGTGTGTGTGTGTGTGTGTGTGTGTGTGTGTGTGTGTGTGTGTGTGTTACCGTTGTCGTTTCCTGCTGAGTCTGACGTGGAGCTGCTCTCTGATCTCACCGTGTCGTCTGGAAAAGCACAAACACTGGGATTCAGGATGAAGGCAGGAAGAGCCTTTGCTTCAAGAAACAATGGTGTGTGTGTTTCCTGTGTGTGTGTGTGTGTGTTTCCTGTGTGTGTGTGTGTGTGTTTCCTGTGTGTGTGTTTCCTGTGTGTGTGTGTGTGTGTTTCCTGTGTGTGTGTTTCCTGTGTGTGTGTGTGTGTGTTTCCTGTGTGTGTGTTTCCTGTGTGTGTGTGTGTTTCCTGTGTGTGTGTGTGTGTGTTTCCTGTGTGTGTGTTTCCTGTGTGTGTGTGTTTCCTGTGTGTGTGTGTGTTTCCTGTGTGTGTGTGTGTGTGTGTGTTTTCTGTGTGTGTCTTTCCTGTGTGTGTGTTTCCTGTGTGTGTGTGTTTCCTGTGTGTGTGTTTCCTGTGTGTGTGTGTGTGTGTTTCCTGTGTGTGTGTTTCCTGTGTGTGTGTGTGTTTTCTGTGTGTGTGTTTCCTGTGTGGCACCCTCGGTGCACCGTCCTCTTGCCGTGGTGTGTGTGTGAGTGTGTGTGTGTCTTTCCTGTGTGTGTGTTTCCTGTGTGTGTGTGTGTGTGTGTGTTTTCTGTGTGTGTGTGTGTTTCCTGTGTGTGTGTGTGTGTGTGTGTTTTCTGTGTGTGTGTGTGTTTCCTGTGTGTGTGTGTGTTTCCTGTGTGGCACCCTCGGTGCACCGTCCTCTTGCCGTGGTGTGTGTGTGTGTGAGTGTGTGTGTGTCTTTCCTGTGTGTGTGTTTCCTGTGTGTGTGTTTCCTGTGTGTGTGTGTGTGTGTGTGTGTGTGTGTGTTTTCTGTGTGTGTGTGTGTTTCCTGTGTGTGTGTGTGTTTCCTGTGTGTGTGTGTGTGTGTGTGTGTTTCCTGTGTGTGTTTGTTTCCTGTGTGTGTGTGTGTTTCCTGTGTGTGTGTTTCCTGTGTGTGTTTGTTTCCTGTGTGTGTGTTACCTGTGTGGCACCCTCGGTGCACCGTCCTCTTGCCGTGGTGTGTGTGTGTGTGAGTGTGTGTGCCGTTCTCAGAGTCGCTGTGTTTCCTCAGCGCGGCGCTGAAAAGCGTCTTTCTGGGTTTGGGCCGCTGGCCTTCTTCTTCCTGCTTCACACAAACAGAACCGGGTCAGCCGACCAGCAGGGGGCGCTGCTTCATCAGAACCAGACTACGCCTCCAGACAGAACCCTGGATCTACTTTAAACCGGGTGGTTCTACACTGGATCCACCGCTGGGTTCTGCTGGTTCTGGACCGGAACAACAGAGTTTCTGTTATCGGCTGTTTCTGTCTGAACCGATGAGAATCCTGGCTCACCTCCACTCGACACTTCCTGTTCCCCTGGTGGGTCGGCGCCGCTCGTCTGCGGACGCAAGGCGGCTTCTCGCCTGCCTCCAGGGGGAAGTCGTTGGGCACCGCACCTGTCAGCTCCTAACCAATCAGAGCGCAGCACACAACTCAGCGCACACCGGCCGCACCGATCAGGCTTCGCTTCCGGCTGTGACATCACTCACCGCCTCCTGGAGGCAGATCCGCCTCAGCTCGGCCAATCGGACGCTCAGTAGCACCTGCAGGCTCCGCCTCCTCTCTTGCAGCTCTGCCATTCGCTCGTTTTGCTTCCTGCTTGGACAGGTGAGGGGCTCTGCACACAGGACACAGGTGAGTCAGGAAGCAGGGGAGACCAACAGATTTCCCCAACTGGTCTCTCTTACCAGGTGCTAAAATGAGTTGACCTTTGACCTCCATGGCATGGGCTTCCCATGTGACTCCGCCTCCTCGTCACTCCGGTCCTGTCTACAGACCCCGGCTCACCTGTGGAGCGCCACCAGGTGTTCCTCTGCTACTGAGCCACTTCATAGACCCTGCAGTGGTTCTCACCTGCAGCCATCCAACAGGTGAGACTCAGGCAGCTGCTGCAGCTCCCATGGCGGCCTGGAGGGGGCGATCAACCTGAGAGCAAAACCACAGAAGAAGAAACATCAGGAGTTCTGAGTTTCAGGGCAGAAAATCTGATTTTTCTCACTGAGGACTAACATGAACACACAAAGGAAACTTCTTCCAGATCAGAACCAGAACCAGAGAGGATCGAACCCGTCGGACCCGGTTCTGCTGGGCAGACAGATTCAACTCTGGATTAACCGTGTTGAATCAAAACAAGTAAAACTCCAACATGAAGAGCAGATTGGGTGTTACTGATCCCCTCTGAAGCGGTCCGATCACCCGGCGGCCCGGTTCTGCTGCCGCTACGCCAGCCGCCTGGGAACAGGAAGCTGGCAGCAGGAAACAGGAAGAAGGAAACGAGCGGCAAAGAGACAGGAAGAGAGAGAGCGAGGGAGGAGGGAACAGGACTGGGAATGACTGAACGGGTCAGAACCAGAACCTTGATCTGGCCCAAATGCTCCACAGCATGATCAGCCTGGATGGTTCTGGATTAACAGAACCAACAAAAACCTTTCTGTTTCCATCTCTGTTCCAGGACCAAGCTCAGTCTGTTTGAGTCGGGTTCTGATCGGGTTCTGGTTGGGTTCTGTCACTGAGATCATGGAGTCTCACCACTAAACTGTTTTATTATTGTTGTTGTTTTTCTTTCTTTTTTTGTTAGCTGCACCCTGGGGGCATTAAGGGGCATTGGGGCCAGTCAGCAGCAGTCGGGGGCATTGGGGCATTAGCCGCCCATAGATTCTGCCCTGCGGACTGGAAGCTGTTTGTGGTTTTTACCTTAAGGTGGCCTGCTGCCCCCTGCTGGCAGAAATGTTCCTGCTTGGGTCTGACCAGAACCAAAAGGCCCAAACATGGTTCATACGTCACAGGCTGAGCTGGATGAGACATTTATTTCCCAGAAACAATTTTATTAGGAAAATACCAAATGCATCAATCTAAATCTCAAAGCTTTTGCTTTTCAGGGTTCAAACAGAAATTCAAACAATATATCAGAACTCTGAAGTTAAAAACAATTAGAAAAGCCACTGAGACAAAGCATTGATGAACTCACTTTAACATTTTTCTAACTCAACTTTTTGCTTTGTTTCCTGACTGTCTGCAAAAGGAACAGCAATCTGTTCGCTTTGATTTGGCATAAACAAAATAAAGAAACTTGTGAAATGTGTTATTAAAACAATTAATTCACACAGCTTTTCTAAAAATCAAAAATTGTGAATTAAAGTGAAACTTTGACTCCAGAAATGCGCCGGCAGTGGATCCAGGAAAGTTCACAGTACGAAGCTCAGCCTGCAGATTATTCCCAGATTATTCCCAGATTATTCCCAGTCATGAAGTTTTTACTGTTATTTTTGCAGCCGATCCACAGAAACACGCGGCTTAACGCTTATGGTTGCCGTGGTAACAGTTGAAATTAACATAAAATTTTTTTGAAAAAACTGTTCTGATAAAATAAGTTAGAGATGGGTCTCTGCAACTGGAACCAGAACCAGAACCATGAGGACCCAGAAGAGCTTCAGACTAAACAAAGAGAACCCGACTGGTTCTGGTGCTTCTGAATAGAACCCATGAGACAAAACCAGAACCTCCTCATAATAATCATCCAGAGACCCGTCTAGGCCCGGTCCAAACCCAGCAGAACCTCAGACACTCTACCCACTGACCCACAGCCTGGTTCTGAAACCGGGTCACTCCAGGTCTGAAGGAACCTCAGAGGAAACGGCGACCTCACACACACACACACCAGAAACTCACACACACACACACACCAGAACCTCACACACACACACACACACACCAGAACCTCTCACACACACACACACACCAGAACCTCACACACACACACACACACACCAGAACCTCACACACACACACACACACACACACACACACACACACACACACACACACACACACACACACACACACACACACACACACCAGAACACACACACACACACACACACACACACACACACACACACACACACACCAGAACCTCACATACACACACACACACCAGAACCTCACATACACACACACACACCAGAACCTCACACACACACACACACACACACACACACACACACACACACACACACACACACCAGAACCTCACATACACACACACACACACACACACACACACACACACACACCAGAACCTCACACACACACACACACACACACACACACACACACACACACACACACCAGAACCTCACATACACACACACACACACACACACACACACACACACACACACACACACCAGAACCTCACACACACACACACACACACACACACACACACCAGAACCTCACACACACACACACACACACACACACACACACACACCAGAACCTCACACACACACACACACACACACACACACACACACACACCACACACACACACCAGAACCTCACATACACACACACACACACACACACACACACACACACACACACACACACACACACACCAGAACCTCACACAGGGACACACAGCTCAGAGGGGTGAAAGGTTATTGGTTGTCTGGCTGCAGCTCTCAGCCAATCAGAGCCCAGGACTGTTGCTGAGCAGAGAATCAGCCTGACCTACATCCATCACACAGCGCTGCTGCTGCAGCTCCTGCTGCTGCAGCTCCTGCTGCTGCAGCTCCTGCTGCTGCAGCTCCTGCTGCTGCAGCTCCTGCTGCTGCAGCTCCTGCTGCTGCAGCTCCTGCTGCTGCAGCTCCTGCTGCTGCAGCTCCTGCTGCTGCAGCTCCTGCTGCTGCAGCTCCTGCTGCTGCAGCTCCTGCTGCTGCAGCTCCTGCTGCTGCAGCTCCTGCTGCTGCAGCTCCTGTGCAGCATCAGACTCACCGCGAGGTGTTTACTGACCTCAAGAAAAAACAGACTGCTACACACTCAGAGCCTCCATCCGCAGCAGCAACATTCCAACCACAGAACCGGGCTCACAATAACATGGGTCCAGCAGAACCCAGCAGAACTGGCAGCCAGGACTGAAAAGTCTGATTCTTCTGTACAGAACCAGAGCAACATGTGAAGGACGGGCGGTTCTATTTGGGTCTGGGAACCAGAAACTTGCCAAGAACTCTGCACAAAAACCACAGAACACTGAAGCACGGTGGTGAAGGTATGGTGCAATGGGATCCCTGTAAAACTAAAGATCACTTCAAAAAAATTAACCTTGAAACATTTTTCAGATTTTAGAGCTGATGTTCATCATCTACCAATATATATTGGTATATTTGGTGTTTTCTGGTTTAGATCTTGTTCTTGTCTTTTGTTCCTGTTTGTTTGTGTGTTTTAAATAAAGTTATAGGGGGGGAAAAATAAAGAGTCTTCAAAATAAGAGCATGAATATATTTCTCTAAAACTCGGTATTCTAAACTGAAACACAGACGCTGAACTTTATTCAGCTGGAAGTTAAGACGTAAATTTCAGAATTTATTTGGAAAAATCAGGGCAAAGTGAAACTTTCAATGCTAGCTACAGCGCTAAGCTAATAGTTAGCATATTATTGCTCTACAGAAGGACAAACACGTCTGGTTCCAAGCAGAACCACAGAGTTGGGTTTGGACTTGTACTCCACCAGAACTGGTGCAGTTCAGCAGAACCAGAACCAAGTGGACTTCGTCAGTTCTGTCTCCGCCCAGAACATGGATTAAAACCCGATCCTGAAAACCCGTTTGGACTCCAGCTGGAAACAGAACTTCTCCTTAGAGTTGAGATCAGTCTGTCAGGGCCAGAGGTTCTGGTCTCGGTTCCTCCATTTGGTACCTAGTAAGGTTGAACAGGTAAGAACCCAAACTGGATCGGTACCAAACGGTGAGCAGATTGTCTGGGTGAGTTTTTCACATCTGTTTTGAGAAACGAACTTCTTCAGTCTGCTGGAAGTAAATAAAGTTCTGTGAACCGAACTGCAGGCTGGGTTCTGGCGGCCTCCACCAGAACTGCGCCAAACTGGGATCAGAACCAGTTTGGTTCTGGGATCAGAACCAGTTTGGCCCAGCATGTGCACCAGTTATGCTAGACAACACCGACGGATCCAAAGTAAAGGAGAACAGAGGGGAACATTTACAGATCAGAAATACTAACCTCTGGCACCAACTGGGCTTGGTTCAGGTTCTGTTAGAGGAAAGATTGGACCCAGGTCCCTGAGACTCCTTCAATGGGCGCGACCCTCGACCATCAGCAGGTGGACGGAAGAGGTGATGTGGGAGGAGCTTCCATCCTAAACAGAGATCAGAATCAGCCAATAAACTACCAGCGTGAGAGCGGCAGCCGGGCCCGGTCCTTCCTGGAACCTTTGAGGTCCAACTCGAATGATCTCAGGAGATATAAGATGCTTCTCACTGAGCCAGGTTCAGAACCTCTGGGTCCCGATTCATCACGGTCTATACGAGCCTGAGGCGGCCTCCTCTACCATCAAACCCAGTTTGGATGAATCCTTCCACTCACTGGTTCTGGTACCTCAACCCAAAGGTACAAGAACAGTCATGAGGAAGTAAATCCAGGACTCTGCTCCATCCCAGACACAACGGTTTCCACAGCCTGAATACCTGCCAATCTGGTGATTGGACAGCGCTGTTCTGTTTCCCCATACAACCGACCCGGACCCCCTGGTCCCCCATCAGGTATAGGTCCAAAGCTCAAGGTACCGTCGGGTTAGGGTGGAGCTGCTGGTGTCGCACAACGCCGACGACGGAGAAACATTAGCAGCTGTGGAAGTGCGTGGAGTTTGTCATGGTGCTAGCATGATGCAACCCTTCATGTTTGGGTTTGGTCCCGGTTCTCCTGAATACGATGGACCACAGAACCGCAGCACTCAGTGGGCCAGATGCGGCTGTCCAAACGGAGCAGTACCAGCAGTAACCTCTGGGGGCGGCGTGGTACCGCAAAAGCCAGCAAATAGACTAGCGAAGAAGAAAAGAGCAGAAACGCCAGAACTTGTTCTCCGAACTCTGTGGACCGACGAGCTTTTGTTCCGGTTCTTTCCTTCCGGTTCTTTTGTTCCGGTTCTTTCCTTCCGGTTCTTTTGTTCCGGTTCTTTCCTTCCGGTTCTTTTGTTCCGGTTCTTCTGCTAATGAAAGGAAGGAGGTGGAGCCCGGTTCTTGTTGTCATGGTGATAGTCAGACACAACAACCAGACCATAATTATATTCATCTTCTAACCTGCGGCTTAGGCCATGATGGCTGGCCCACCGGAACCAGAACCCGGGTTCTGCACATCTGGGCCACGTGGCCGCAGGCTGCTCTCTGATTGGCTGTCGCTGCTCTGGGTGAAGTTTGGTGTTTTTACGTCAATCAGCTGATTCCACATGTCAACACAAAGACCAGCGCAGGTTGGGGTCACGTCAGTCGCGCACGCGCAGCCAATCAGTGAGCAGGAATCCAGGCTCACCTGTCGGTTCTGTTCGGTTCCTGCAGCTGGATCTGGATCAGCCGCCGAACCGGAAGCTGCCCGCTTCCATTTGGACTCAGAGAACCGAACCTCCGCCCCCTGGTAGTTTGACCCGGGTCCTTCCCTCAGCTCGGTTCGGTCTGGTTCGGACTCCGAGCCGAACTTCAACATAACAACCACCGCGGCTCGTGCCGCTCGGCTGCCGCGCGGCGCCGCGCCGCCGCTTCAGCCCGCAGACTTTTAACGGGAGTTCCGGTCCAGCATACCTGGGTCACCTGCAGCTCCGGTCCGGAGAGCAGAACCGGTCCAGAGAACCTGAGAGTTCTGATCGATCAGCTGGGATCCATGCTCTGGTCGCTCTTCATCGTCCTCCTCTTCATCATCCGCAACATCAGCAGCACGAGGCGCGCTCCCGCCGCGGACACGCACACGCCTCGCCCATGCGCGCGCATGTGCGCCTGCCTGCCAGCAGCAGGTTTCTGCTTTCTTCTTCGTGTGTTTGGGTTTCTGCTCGCCAACACCGAGCAGAACTTCCCTGTTCGGAACCGACGGACCGGAAAGACAAAAATAAAAACGCGATGAAAATATGAACCTGCAGAAAAACCGATGGAAACAAAAACATCTAAAAAACAATCTGGACCCAACAGAACTTCAGACTTTCTCTGCTTTCATGCCATTTGTAAAATTCAAAAATACTTTATTGATCCAAAGGGAAATGAAATGTTGTAAATCATTTATTGAGATTCTAATTGAAGATGCTGCTGGCAGGAAGGATCTCCTGTAGCAGTCTGTGTTACAGCACCTCTGAACAAGCCTCTGACTGAAGACGGGCCAGAACTTTATTGATTTTAAGAAGAATCCTTCTTTGCATCATCATCACCAGAGGATCCACAGACAGAACCACAACAGAACCACAACAGAACCACAACAGAACCACAACAGAACCAGCCTTCTTATTCAGCCTGTTGAGCCTCTTCAGCTCCTGGTTCCGGTGGTTCTGATGGTTCTGACAGCAGATCCAAACCCTGAAGGATCTCCTCTTCCTCCGTCTCCATCCAGGTTTTTATCTTCCTCCACTTCTTCTCCCATGATGGGGTTTGACCTTTGACCCTGTTCCTCCTGAAACCAACAATCACATACTTTGTTTTGTTCACATTTCAGATGATTTGACTGTTCCCTCCGTGACCCGAAGCAGTCCACCAGCTCTCTGTACTCAGCCTCTGATAAACCATCACCTGCAGAGTAATCTGAGTATTCCTGTAATCTAAGTATTCCTGTAATCTGAGTATTCCAGTAATCTGAGTATTCCTGTAATCTGAGTATTCCAGTAATCTGAGTATTCCTGTAATCTGGGTATTCCAGTAATCTGAGTATTTCTGTAATCTGAGTATTCCTGTAATCTGAGTATTCCTGTAACTGAGTATTCCTGTAATCTGAGTATTCCTGTAATCTGAGTATTCCTGTAATCTGAGTATTCCTGTAATCTGGGTATTCCAGTAATCTGAGTATTCCTGTAATCTGAGTGTTCCTGTAATCTGAGTATTCCTGTAATCTGAGTATTCCAGTAATCTGAGTATTCCAGTAATCTGAGTATTCCTGTAATCTGGGTATTCCAGTAATCTGAGTATTTCTGTAATCTGAGTATTCCTGTAATCTGAGTATTCCTGTAATCTGGGTATTCCAGTAATCTGAGTATTCCAGTAATCTGAGTATTCCTGTAATCTGGGTATTCCAGTAATCTGAGTATTCCTGTAATCTGAGTATTCCTGTAACCTGAGTATTCCTGTAATCTGAGTATTCCTGTAATCTGAGTATTTCTGTAATCTGAGTATTCCTGTAATCTGAGTATTCCAGTAATCTGAGTATTCCTGTAATCTGAGTGTTCCTGTAATCTGAGTAATCCAGTAATCTGAGTATTCCAGTAATCTGAGTATTCCTGTAATCTGGGTATTCCAGTAATCTGAGTATTCCTGTAATCTGAGTATTCCTGTAACCTGAGTATTCCTGTAATCTGAGTATTCCTGTAATCTGAGTATTCCTGTAATCTGAGTATTCCAGTAATCTGAGTATTCCTGTAATCTGAGTATTCCTGTAATCTGGGTATTCCAGTAATCTGATTATTTCTGTAATCTGAGTATTCCTGTAATCTGAGTATTCCTGTAATCTGAGTATTCCAGTAATCTGAGTATTCCTGTAATCTGAGTATTCCTGTAATCTGAGTATTCCAGTAATCTGAGTATTCCTGTAATCTGAGTATTCCTGTAATCTGAGTATTCCAGTAATCTGAGTATTCCTGTAATCTGAGTATTCCAGTAATCTGAGTATTCCTGTAATCTGGGTATTCCTGTAATCTGAGTATTCCTGTAATCTGAGTATTCCTGTAATCTGAGTGTTCCTGTAATCTGAGTATTCCTGTAATCTGAGTATTCCTGTAATCTGAGTATTCCTGTAATCTGAGTGTTCCTGTAATCTGAGTATTCCAGTAATCTGAGTATTCCTGTAATCTGAGTATTCCTGTAATCTGAGTATTCCAGTAATCTGAGTATTCCTGTAATCTGAGTATTCCTGTAATCTGAGTATTCCTGTAATCTGAGTGTTCCTGTAGGTGGCAGAAGCCAGACGCTGAGTCAGCAGGTGACGGTTGAGGCTCCGCCTCCCAGAGCAGATCAGGCTGAATCCTGTTAAATTGTTTTATGAGGCAGGTTAAGATGGCGTCTCCATGGCGATAAGCAAACTGACCGGGTTTCTCTCCAGGACCTTCATGATGGGGTTGTCATGGCTACAGGTCTACAGTCGGTGAGTTTTCTGTGGTACCGGAACCAGGCGGGTTCCGGTACCACATCAGCAGAACCTTCTTTTGTGTCGGGTTGAGGTTGAAGGATGCTGCAGAATCCCACAGAACCGCTCTGCAGCTTCAGGCCTTCAGAACCAAGACCATCTGGACCTGGTTCCGGTTCCGTCTCTCCAGCTGCCTCTTCTGGACCAGAACCAGATCAGGAGGAGCAGCAGCTCCTGATCCGGTCGGAGTCAAACTAGTGGAAGCTGAAGATCCGTGACTGAGGAGGAAGTTAGAAGATCAGAGGTTTGGCTCCGATCTTCTAACTCAGGAAGCTGAGGTCAGAGGAAGGAGGGATGATGATGATCCTGAACCTGTCTGAATGTCTTCAGCTCTTTTGCTCCTTCCAGGCTTCCATCCACCTGATCCACCTTCTGCTCGCAGCCTGAGGTCTTCTTCCTTCCTGATTTGGTTCCTCTGCAGTTTGTCCTCCAGGTTCTTCCTGTTCTTCTGTCTCTAATCTGGACTGCAGCTGCTTCTGTTCCCCGTCATTCTGCTTCCATCGCTCTGCTCTGGCGGCGATGCTGCCGTCCACACAGCTTCCTGTCGGTCATGGCTCTGATGTCATCTCCATGAGGCTGGCAGAGAGCGATCCAATCAGTTGCTTCAAAACAAGCCTGGCGGGCCTCTTCTGCTTCCTGTCACCATTTCCTAACAGCCATCTTGTTAACGGGGAGCGTCTTCACAAATTAAGAGTCAAAATTATTAAAAACATGGAGGTTAATTTTTCAGTAATATTTAATTAGAAAGCTAAATATTTTGTTTATATTTTAGTTTCTATTAGAAACAAAATGTAGCAAGCTAAGTATTTATTTTGTACTTAGCTTATTATTTTGTATTTAGTTTACAAAATCGTAATATTTAGCTAGCTCAAAATAAATAGCTGAAATGCAAATTCACTTCCTGCTAAGTGGATTTTCAAAATAAAGCTGGCTGCATCATTGTTGCAGTAGATCAGGGCTGCTAATGATCGATTACTAAACTTCTGTACCGTCTTTAAAATGGCTCAGCTGAAATATTGGACAAGAGGAAAATAAACGAAGTGGTAACAAGAAACAACTCAAGCAGTTATTAAAGACTTTCGGAAGACCCGGCTTTTATCTTGGTAATTCACTTCCTGTTATCAGCCAGGCTTAGCTAAATATTCAGCTAATATTAGCAAATAAACAATATCTTACTGAATTGTGACAATTTTGAATTAAAAATGGAAATACAACTGAAAAAATAATATTTCTTTTGACATGTTCAATAAATTTGATCTGGGACTGTGAACCTGGTTCTGACTCGGGTTGGACTCCGATCAGCAGCAGTCAGTCCCAGAATGTTCTGGGAGTATCTGGAATATGATCCTGCTGATTGCTGCACCTGTTCAACACAAGCCACGCCCATCTACAGGTGCGAGCACAAATCTGACTCCACACAGCCAATAAAAATGCTCTAAAAATCTTTATTGTTCCAGAGAATATTAAACATCAGCACGAGCGGACCAATCAGAGCCCTCCGTCAACAGAAAGAAAACCGAAAACTTGTTTTATTAAAGCTTATGAAAAAAAACATTTTACAGAGCCCTGCCCACAATCAGGCCCCACCCACATTCGAGACTCCTCCCACTTTAGGACGTCAATCATCTCAGGCTCCGCCCTCTAAACACCAGAATTCAAAGAAAAGGCAAAGTTCTGACCCAGGGGACGGCACCTGAACACACCTGTTGTCTTTACGCTCCGCCCACATCCGGCAGGGAGCTTGACAGTTCTGAACTGAACGGATCCGGATCCAACATTCAAGAAAATTCTGCCTCTGGTGTTTTCATGGTTTACAATCAGGAACAGAAACGGAGCAGGAGGGAGCCGGTTCTGGCTCTTCACATTGTGTTGGGTTGGTTCTGAAGGGGAACAGAGTTTGGACCAGAACCTCACAGTATGATGGAGGAGCTCCAGAACCTGCAGAACCATCAGCGCGTCTCATGGGATGCTGATGTAACTGGACCCGAGTAGAAATGAGTCGGAGGAGTTTCAGAACCTCCGGAGCAGCTGCCGGTTGGGTTTGGACCTTCGTCACCATCCGCCGTCGGTCTCAGCTGATTGATGAAACCAGAACCGAGGTCCGGTACCTGTGAGCTCCGGTTCCAGTGGAGCATGTTGAGTTGTTGGCGACCATCTTTGTGTCAGGCGGGATTCTGGGATGCGGCGCCGGCTCTTACATTCCCTGAGAAGCTCCACTTCTCTTCGGCGCCGGCTTGGCGTCTTTACCGGTTTCTATGGAAACAGAAAACAGACATTATCCGCACCGACACAGTGAGGCAGAACTCCTCCGGTCCGGTTCTGGTTCTGACCTTGCAGCCATCGGACCTGCGTGGCCGGCCCGTAGCCCTTCTGGTTGCGGGCGGCGATGCGGAAGATGACGGCGGGCTTGGTGGTGTAGTCGATGTGCGCGTTGGCCAGGGTGGAGGCCTGAACCAGGCAGCACGGGTCAGAACCACAGTACACCCTCATGAAGGCCAGCTGGGCCGGGCCAGAACCCGCCGGCCTGGCCTGGCTGGACTGGA